CTGGCACACAGGTTACACCCTAAATGATCTGATTAACAGCGCCTCCATTCAGCAGGAAGCAGTTTGGAGAGAAAAAACTGTGCCCATGTTCCCAAAATATTGTTTATAAATGTTCTTTTACATTTAAAGGGGGAAATGATATAGGTATGAATAATTTGCATTGGTATGAATTTTAAGGTCAATTTTGTTACATGTATATGTATTTCTGATATTGATTAAGGTATTGTGATTGTGTAATTAATTTAAAATGTAATGTATAATAGGAAATATAGGTTGCTAGTGGATACTTATCGATAATAGTAAAGCTTGTAGTCATGTTAGTTAGATTTTCTAGATATATAGAGATACATTTCAGTTAGATAGACATTCTTCATATCTTTCAAAGACTGCAGAATATGGCATTTTAAATGTTTTAACAACTTAGGGCTTTTCATGATAAGGAGACACGTCTGCTCCTGGCAGCACCAGCTACTTCAAGAGGAAGATGGGCATCAAAGAGGATCCTTATGGAGCTTGATAGCCATTTGGGCAAGAAACTGCTCTTGCCTGGACTGATGCATAAACTGGACACAAAGAACCCGCAGAGAGAGGACTGCTAAACTTGCCTAAAGGTGAGATGGTCTTTCGGGGTTCCTGACTCACGAAAGAGTCTGTGAGACATTCTGCAGGACACAGCCAATAAGAGGCTGGAACTAATGGGCCAGGCAGTGTTTAAAAGAATACAGTTTCCGTGTAATTATTTCGGGGCATAAGCCATGCTACAGATGCAATGTCATATTGTCTTGAAATTTCCTACATCAAAGAAATGAATCTGTTACTGGTTTAAGTCAGGACAATGAGAGCTTGAAGCAGCTTGTAATACTGTATCCAGAGTCATGAAGCAAAGAGCAATGCTTGCCTTGGTCAGTTTTTGTCTCTGTATACAGCCCTGGACTCTAGCCCAGATCAAGGCACCATCAATGGTGGGTATGCATTCCCATAATAACTAATATAATAAAAATATTCCCCCACGGGTTTCCTCAAAGGATCATCACTTAGGCTATTCTAGAGTGGATCAAGTTGACCACTGAGATTAATCAACAGCCTGAATTTTTAAAAGTAATTTGATGTCCAATGATGTAAGTGAAACTAAAATCCTTTTTAATAGCATAGTCCTCATGTCTGCAAGATTTCATTACAAATGTCTGATAAGGAAGCAGGTGAATTATGGCTTCATATTTTCCTTCACTATGCCTCTCGCTGCTGTTGAAGTTCTGGTCTTCCGCGTTCAGTGAAGACAGCTTTGGTCCTCTTTACATTCGTGCTTTTCCCAGCTCGTATGGCTGACATGTGACAAGACATGTGTATGGTAGAATGCTCTGCTGACTGTTCTTACCGTCTCGCCCTGGCTGGCCTCAGACTCACAGGTGCCTGTCTCCGTGGGGGCTAATGGCATGCGCTACTGTGTCTGCGGGGGGGGGGGGGGGGGGGGGGGGGGGGGCTAAAGGCGTGCGCTACCACACCCAGCCGTTTGTTTCACTGCTCGGCATTTTACTGTCTCACTGAGACTAGCATTCAGCACTGGTATCTTAATAAAGCTGCAGCACCAGGACATGAATTGATTAGCAATGAAAGCATGTGTCACTACATGGCTAAGTATTCCCCGGCATGGTCTCTCACTTGTAAGAGGTAACGTGAAGGCTGGCCTGTGTACCCTCTCAGAGCAGAGCTTTCGGGTGTTCATTACTCTCAAGGGATCCTTCAACCGAGTGAGATTTCAGAGGCGAAGTGACACAAAATTGCCTGAGCAGCCTTTTCTGTGTTCTTCACATTCACGGGGTTGCCCATTCACTCATATACACAGACATTGCGATTTCATAAGATAGAAAAGCAGAGTCTTTTCTGTTTTTATAATAGAGATATTTTTCCAGCATAATATTTTTATTATTTGGGAATTTCATACAACGTATCCTGGTCACACTCCCCATTCCTCCCAGGTCCTACCTCTCACCCTTGTGCCCTGTCCCCAAAAACACCAAGTACAATTCAGATTGCCATATACTCATTAGAGCGTGGTAAAACCCCCAGGGGCCAGCCCCTTAAAGATAGCTGAGTTCTTTCCCATCCCCTACCAGAAGCCAGCAACTGTGAAGAGCTACTTCAGCATCTTTATCACAATTTTTAAGTATTTCCCCAATGGCTTCCTGTCTAGACTGCTCTTTTCTCTTGGTGTGTGTGTGTGTGTGTGTGTGTGTGTGTGTGTGTGTGTGTGTAGGTTGTTGCAGGAGTCTTCACTGTCTCTCATTCTCAATTTGAGTCTGGCTGGAGTCATTGATACCATTGCAACAGATGCTCCCTTGTCCACAACAACCAACAGCAGCCTGGATCATGGACTTCTACATGGTTTCCCAAGGCTGCACTGACCACGGACGTCGACATGGACTCTGTGAATAATAGAAGATGGACCTCAACATGGTCTCTGAAGACAGCATAGACCACGGACCTCATCATGGTCTCTGGTGGCTGCACAGACCTCCACAGACATCACCATTGCCTCCAATGACATCAGAGACCACAGACATCAAGGTCTCCTTGGCAGCCCTGATCACAAGCACCAACATGACCCTCAGCAGCAGCATGGCCTCTGGTGGTAACACAGACCATGGATAGCTACACCGTCCCCTGTGGTGGAGCAGACAACATGGACCATGGATAGCTATACCGTCCCCTGTGGTGGGGCAGACAACATGGACCATGGATAGCTACACCATCCCCTGTGGTGGGGCAGACTATAGACAAACATGACCTCCAGCAAGAGCTCAGACCACTGACATCTGGTGGCAACAATGACTACAAACATCAACATGGCCTCAGGCAGCAACCCATTCCATAGACATCCACTTGTCCTATGGACCAAGAAAATCAGCAGTCTCTGGTGGCAGCACTGACCATGGAGGCCAACATGACCTCTGATGGCAGCATGAACCATGGACATCAACAGTGGACTCCGGCAGAAATACAGACCACTGATGCCAACATGGCCCCCACACTGAGCAAAGGCCACAGCCACCCTATGGTATCTGGTAGCAACAGTCTAAAGGCATTAACACAGCCTGCACAAGCAGTCCAGACCACAGGCACCACTGGCTGCAGCTGTAGCACAGGCCTCATATAGCAACATGACCTCTGGCGGTAGCACAGACCATGGAGGATTTGTGAGAAGGCCCAGTCCAGGAAATGAACCAATCTCCATGGACATCCTGATGTTGCTAGGAGCGAGGGTGACCCTGGAGGCTGGGGAGCGTCTTTGGGACCAGAGCTCGCATGCGCTGCAGGCTGCTTCCCCTACTTGACCATGGCATGCTCCCCGTCCTGTTGCTGCACTCCCACACCTGTCGCCACCCGTGGCTCTAGCTCTGTCTCTCTTCACGGGCCGCTCCCTTCCACTGTCCTCCCTGCCTCTCTTGGATGCTTATTTATAGAAGTGGCATAGCAAACTGCAGCATGTCACACAGTGTATTATTTTTTGTCCAAATAGCTTTACATGCACATACTTATTGCAATGAGTCGCTGGTCTGGCTCAAGATCTCTGGTTTCTGAAGCAGAACAAACACTGAACTATTGCTGAGGCTCCTCTCAGATATCCTGCTGTTGCCGGGTCAGGGTGATCTTTCAGCTGGGTAGGGTGTCCAGGGCAGGACCTGATAGAGCTCCAGGCCACTGCACATGGCTCCGCCCTTGGCAAAGTCTCATTGAGTATGACCGTCTTGCCTGCAGCCCTTGGGCAGCTCAGGAGCAATGGTGGCTCCGTGCTGAGGGTCAAGTCCCAAGAGAGTGACCAGGGACCCACCCACAAGATGCTTTGTGGTACTACCAGTGTCGGGGACTACCACCATCTTGAACGAATCTTCAAATATTTTAAAAAGATTCTGATATCAGAAATTACAGAAGTGCCAGGACACACCTGGTGAAGGTACAGCCATTCTCTCTGATGCTCCTCTCTAAGTTCCTCGCTGTAGGGCAGTACTCAGGTTTGGGATTAGGTTTTGGCAGTGGTGGTGGTGGTGGCAGCTCCTCCATGCTGACTGCAGGGGTGATGGGGAGGGAGGAGGGCACTGATTGGGTTAAAGCATCTCTCATCTGTTGCCAGTGGCAGTCTGCTGTGGGGGAGAGGGATTCAGGAGACTCGACTGCCCCCTGCAGGCGTCATGAGCACCATGGCCATCTTGGCTCCTGTATCATAAAATTTTCTTACATTCCTTAAATTCCTAGGTTTTTATCATGTATGGATTTTCTTACAGAACTCCCCCAGGCAGAAGTCCTGATCATGTAGGTGTCGGATACATTTTCATAGTTGTTATAACCATCAGTCTTCTGACTCGCGGGCCTTCTGTCGTCTGGTGAGGGCTAATGGGTCTACTAGGGTTTTCTGCGCTGGGGGAGATCTGCTGGTGTTAATCGCTCCAGACCACCACCAGTGGAGTTGATCTCGGCTTAGGGGACAAAGTTCACAATCAGCCGACCAGAATGGGCCATCGAGTTCTCTGGCCAACTAAGAGGAGAAAGAGAGGCACACAGTGAAGAAAGAGGCGGGGCCAAGGGGTTGCATGCTCTCAGATTGAGGAAGTAGAGAAGGTGGATTCTCAGTTACTCTGTGAATTTCTCACATTTATTCCTTAATATTTATCCCCAAGTTTCAGTTTTCAATAAATAATTTAAAAATGCCAAAACTTACATTCTCATCCATGTGACCTCTTGTGCTGAGGTAGGTACGAATGGGGAATGACTTTCTTTGCACGGGTAAAGCTTCTTGTAGCTCTGTGTGAGAGAGTGCTAATGCGCATGAGTGGTGACGTAGAGAACGCTGAGCTTCACTCCACACGGTCACAGGGCTTCTGGGCTGACTGCACCTCCTGATGCCGCAGAACCGTGACTTGCACCAAGCCCCTTGCACTTTTCCCGCCATAGGATGGTCATTCCCGTTTATTCTTCGCTGTGACTCGAGGTATACAGTTCCCTCCTTGGGGCTCCTCATCTGAGCCGCCCACTGTCACTTGTGACATGAAGTTGAGAGCTATCCTGCATTCTTTTCCTTCAGAACGCCTGCCACATGCGTGTGCTCCCTGGTGTGACTAGCAGCAGAAAGCGGTCCCACCTGATTTGCATTCAGATCACTCTGACCTGTGTGAGTACTTTGATGTCGAGTGAGGTGTGGCTTGCGGGAGAAGGCTTTCCCACATTCTCCACATTTATAGGGCTTATCGCCTGTGTGAATCCGTCCATGTACAATGAGTAGTGACTTATAGTAGAAATATTTGCCACACTCTGTGCACACATAGGGGCGTGTATCTGTATGTATGGTCTGATGGAGAGTGAGATGTGACTTGCAGTAGAAAACTTTGCCACAGTCTGAGCACGCATACGACTTCTCGCCTATGTGAGTCCTCTGATGTAGGAGGAGTGTGGACTTCTGGTGGAATGATTTCCTACACTCCATACATGCATAGGGCTTCTCACCCGTGTGAGACCTCTGATGTGCAGTGAGATCCGACTTGCAGTAGAAGGCTCTCTCACATTCTGCACATTCAAAGGGCTTCTTCTCATTGCTGTGAATTCTCTGATGTCGAGTTAGGTGTGACTTATAGTAGAAAGGTCTTCCACATTCCATGCACTTAAAAGGCCTCTCCCCCGTATGAGTTCGCTGGTGTAGCTTAAGCTGGGACTGGCAGTAGAAAGCTTTCTGGCATTTTGTACAAGCATAGGGCTTCTCCCCCGTATGAGTTCTCTGATGTAACGTGAGGTGTGTTAATCGGTAGAAGGCTCTCCCGCACTCTGCACACTCATAAGGCTTCTTGCCTGTGTGGATTTTCTGATGTTGAGTGAGGTACGTCTTGAGGGAGAAAGCCTTCCCACATTTTGTACACTCGTAGGGCTTCTCCTCTGTATGGATTAGCTGATGGGCAGTAAGTTTCCCCTTAGTGTAGAAGGCCCTCCCACACTCTGAACACGCAAAGGCCTTCTTGCCTGTGTGGATTTTCTGATGTTGGGTGAGGTATGACCTGAAGGAGAAAGCCTTCCCACATGCTGTACATTCATAGGGCTTCTTGCTTGGATGAATTCTCTGATGTTCTGAGCTGCAGACGGAAGCCTCTCTGCAGTCCGTACGTTCACAACGCTGCACACCCGTAGGCGCTTCCTGACATACGGTAGCATGTGGGCTCTGGAAGGAAGCTTCCCTGCCTTCCCCACTCTTACGAAGCCCCTGAGCTTCACTGCGAGTTGACACATAACGGACGATTTTCCTACGGGTCTGAGACGTTTGACTCCTGGTGCCCTGTGATTTCTGGCGAAATGTCTTCCTATTCACTTCAGTTCCACAGGACTTTGACCCTGGATGGGTCTTCTGCTCCTTCTTTAGCTCTGCCTTGAAATAAAGAATTTTTTTTAAAAAAATATTTATTTATTTATTATGTATACAATATTCTGTCTGTGTGTATGCTTGCAGGCCAGAAGAGGGCACCAGACCCCATTACAGATGGTTGTGAGCCACCATGTGGTTGCTGGGAATTGAACTCAGGACCTTTGGAAGAGCAGGCAATGCTCTTAACCTCTGAGCCATCTCTCCAGCCTTGAAATAAAGAATTTGTTATATTTCTTATACCTACAAAGAGGCCTTTGTTCTGGCCTCTGTTCTTGAGGTTCTGTGAGGTCTGATTTCTCACACATGTGCGTTTTGCCATGTATTGAATTGATTTATACAGCACAGAATCCCAAGTGTATTTATTAGTAGTGGCTGAACAACTTCACGTGATCTATGTTTTGTGCTACATATACAAGTGTCACTTAAATGACTTTTCAATATTTACTGAATTTACTACAGGTATCTTTAAATGAAACTTCTTTATGTATCACACTGCGTTAGCTTAGAATGATATTCCTGGTCAAACATACTAAAGATCATTGTTGTTATGGACAAGATATGCAGGATGCAAAAGGTTTGCCGACTGCATGAAAAATTGAGTTATTCTCCTCCCTGTAATTAAGAAGCTAAATATCGAGAAATGGTACATTCTTGCCTGGGCTAAGTGTCTGAGAGTGTCAGGAAGATGAGTACATATATGTCTATGCATGTGTGTCCACCTGTGTGCAGGTGTGCATGAGTACATATGTCTATGCATGTGTGTCCGCCTGTGTGCAGGTGTGCATGAGTACATATGTCTATGCATGTGTGTCCGCCTGTGTGCAGGTGTGCATGAGTACATATGTCTATGCATGTGTGTCTGCCTGTGTGCAGGTGTGCATGAGTACATATGTCTATGCATGTGTGTCCGCCTGTGTGCTTCCAGGTGGGGACCAGAGGCTGATTGTCCACCTTTGTTTTTGAGAAAGGGTCTCTCATGTCTCTCATTAAAGGTGGGGCTTGCTGACTTAGTTAAGATGTCCAGGACGTCCTGGACGGCCTTCTTTCCCAGTCTCCTGAACACTGGGATAAGAACTTCCCGCTGCCACTCACAACTTTTTCCTTGGGTGCTGGAGAGCAAACTTAGGTCCTCATGCTCACAAGGCGGCACGGTAATAACTGTGCCTTCTTGCCAGCTTCACATCAAATTCTTAGGGATAATAGGTTTCCCTCTTTATGGTCAGATTTGATGAATTGCCCAAATTTAATGCTTTACTTACAATCTTCTCACTTGATGCCTTGGTTTGGAGAGTTTCAACTTCCCACAAATGCACCTTATGATTTTCCTGGCTGGTCACATTCTGGATAGTCAATATAGGAAGATCTGAAATCAGATGAAAAACATCCCTATCCGTGAATCACATTATAGTCTTTTTATGCAAATCTAACATAAAGTGGACTTTTCCCTCCTAGAAATTATAGAATAGTAATGAGTGTAAAGATTAGTGCTTCACGGATCTGTGTAACAAATGGGACTAGCACACACTACATGCTGGGTCACGTCTTTTACTGTTGTGTTTTCTTCTGGGGAAGCACAAAGAGAAGCTACTCACCTCTTTCTCCGCTGTAGGTCCCAACAATGATTTTTCCCTTGCTAGGTCCTGGTTGCTCCAATCCTCTATGATACTAACTATACGTATAATATCATCTATGGCACACCTCTTTCATGGGTAAAAGAGATTTACTTTTAAATAGTTATATATAAGATGTAAGCATAGCCAAATGTTTTCTCTCCTAAGCAGGAATACATGTTAGGGAAAAGATTGCTAAATATATGTATTTAAAAGGTTTACTTCGCACTGGGTAAAAGCAATAGAACACTCCGTGGGGTTTGTGAGGCAAAGCATCTTCCTCAGAAGCAGAAGACACCTTTCCCAAATTCTCTCTTTGATGCATGTTTTACACCTCTTCTTCACCTTCTAAAACAACAAAAAACACCTTCATGAAAACTAAATAGCGACCAGAGTTTATCACGGCAGTGCATTTTTCTGTGCATAGCTGACAATTCTGAATGAAAAACGTGTGTACACTGGAGACCAGGACTCACTTGGTCACTCCAGCTGGCCTGGGACTTGCTATGTAGACCAGAGTGGTCACCTGCCTCTGCCCCCCAAGTGCTGGGAGTAAAGGCAAACACCATGACACCTCAAATGCAAACTATAAAGTTACTTACCACATCTTATAGGACAAGGCCCTCTCCCATCTTCCCCTGAGCTGGTTCATTACCCCTACTGAATCCACCCAGTTTTACTCTTGACTTCAGTTCTGTATTCAGTACATAATACAAAGGAGATATTTTCTATTTCAGTTCTAACTTATTTCACTTCCATCCCTGTTTCTGTAAGACCAAGGCCTGAGACAGGGTTTCTCTGTGTAGCTGTGGCTGTCCTGAAACTCACTCTGTAGACCAGGCTGGCCTCGAACTCACAGAGCTCCGCCTGTCTCTCTGTCCCAAGTGCTGGGATTAACCATCACCTGGCCAATGATTCTTATTGAAGGCTGAGTGATACACTTTTTATGTACAGCCTTCTCTGAGTTCAGTGATGAGCAGATGGGGCAATATCATACCATGGTTATCATGAGTAACTGCTCAGTAAACATGGGCCTACAGGTTTATCTGCTTTGTCCTTATTTATCTCCATCATGTGTATAGACAGGCAAAGGAAACTTACCACAGACAGCAGTTTTATATTTCATTTAAAAAAAAAAAAAGAAAAACTTCCTGAGTGAATGAACAACTGGACATTATTGACTATAGTGTGTATGCTTTTAATTTTTAAAATCATCATTATATGGGGTGAATATAGGCATGTATACACACACACACACACACACACACACACACACACACACACACACACACGATTGGAAGTCAGAGGACAATTTTCCAGAGTTCGTTCTCTACCTCATCGAGCCAGGTTCTCCTTGTTTCTTCTGTACTGCAGACCCCAGGCTAGCTGGCCCATGAGCTTCTAGGCAATTCTGCCATAGGTTTTAGACAGGGTCTCACTATGTAAAGTTGCTGTGGAGGAGGCTAGCCTCAAGCTCAGAGCACTGAGAGGAAAGCTGTATGCCAGCACACCCAGTTTAAACCTTATTTTAACAAGGAAGAAAAAATGAGCACCCTGGTTCTTGCTTATACTAAAGGAAATGCTTTGCTTCGAGCATGAAACAGAGGTTTACCCATGTGACTTCCGGTTTGTCTGTTTAGTCTATCCCCTCAAGAGTGGGTACTGACATTAACTAACAGAACTGACACTTTGGGGCACGTCATTTATAAGAACATTGGCTCACAAATGTTCAGGGAATATATATTTATATTTGATATCTCTTCATAATGAATAGTTCATAGTTTCATAATAAACAGACTTCCTTTGGCTTTCCATATGCTTCAGCTTTTATAAGAAAACCTAGTTTTGATTTTCCTTGCATTTAGTTTGCTTCAGATATCACTTTCTATCTGTACAGTCTGTGTTTTCATTAGCAAACAAACGCAGGTGTTTCTAAGAATTTAGTTAGCTCGTGTCAGCCCTGATTGGAAGCCTGAGATGACTTGCATTAAGGGCTGCTATTGAAGCACATGTATGAATTTCTCCCCTCATCTTAGAGGCGTTCTGGTTTACAAGTTAATATCGAGCACTTTCTTCATGCCGACGTTTATTTATGAGACTTAGTCCTCAGGAGTGGCTTTAGATAAAGTCAGCACAAAAGCCCAAGCGGGCCAGAGACTAATGAGTTTCCTTCCATGCTCGCCACGCAGTCACTGACCTGGGAGGCTCCTGTCCGAGGCTTCCGCTGCAGTACATGGCCCAAGTCCTTGCTCCAGCTTGAAGATCAACTCAGGTTTGTTCAGACAGTGCCCTGTAAGTGTGGAGCAATAGAGGAATGAAGCCAGGATGCCGAGACAGGTCCACAAGACAGCAGCCAGCTCCGGTTCACAAATGGTGCTATGATCGGTGGTTACAGGCTGGTGGGAGAGATGCTCTCTTTCTTTGTTGACTGGAATACTACCTTCAGCCAGACGCAGAGGAAGCAGGACGTGTAGAAAGTGAGGTAACAAGCCATCAACCACATGGTAGATCTTAGACAAGAAATAGGAGTTCAGTTGTAAGACCTAGTTGGTAACAAGCCTGAGCCATCAGCCAAGCATTTAGAATTAACATTAAGTCTCTGTGTGGTTATGAATATGCAAATGTTTCAGTTTTCCTAAATGCAAGCACTCCTGGCTAGAAGTCACTTTGAATTATTAATAAGCATTTGCGTTTGATTTTATATAACAAGTTTATTAAATATATTTTGTGTGTGGGGGGAGAACTAGTCAAAGCTTTACAGAAGAACTCAATTGATGAACAGGGATTGGGGAGTAAAATTCTAAGATTCCAAAGTGATTGGGAAGCACATCAGAGGCTGGGGAGAGGACTCAGTGGGTAAAAGGACTGTGCAGCATGAGGACCTGATTTCAGATACACAGTATAAACAC